TTGTGTGGGAGACTCTTCCACATCTCAAGTCCACAGCTAAGCCTGGTGAAGCCTGGAGAGGTCCAGCCCCAGTTGTAGTGGGAACTCCAGGACACTGGAGAGGCCAGGTCTGTAAGATGGCTGCCAAGGACAACAGCAGCTGTGAGTAAGAATACTGGACATGTTGTGTGTTCTCTGAATGACAGAGCCAGAGAAGTGGGACTGCCCAAGCCCTTTGGAACCCAGAAGATCATGAATCCCAGATTTTGGACACTGGGATTTTTACACAGTTGGATTTTGGTTTTGCTTTGATCTGATTGTAATTGTGCCCTGGGGCTCTTGGAAGTACAAAGTATGTAACTTATTCTGGATTTTTCCAGGAGCCAACAGTTGAAAGACTTTGGATATTTTAAAGAGACTGAGCTTTTAAAGTGTTTGGATTTTTAAACAGTATGGGACTTTTACAAGATGGAACATGGGATCTTGAAACTAACATAAGATCTTGGAATTGAACAAAAAAGGAAAGGTATGAATTAATAGTTATGCGTTTGTGGGTCAAGTTGACAAAGGGTCCCTTTCCTTGAAGTTACAGGCCAAAAGCAGTTTGATTAACATGAGCCTCTCTTCTTCTGGAAAACTTAGGTATACCTCATCTCAGCACAGTGATCAGCAGATTCCATCAAGTGAGCTACTAGCCAAGCCTGCTCTGTGAAGAGTATCAGTCAGGTTCAGTAGGCTAAGGGGACGTTACTCTTTAGAGATTTTCAGTCTCTCTTTCCCTGGGCAACATTTTAGAAAGTCCGCTCTCTTGGTAAATGAACAAGAATGACAGGCGCAGCCCAGGCACAGTGTACATGCCTGCAATCCCAGTACTTGAGAGGTGGAGGCTGGAAGGTCAGAGTTGGCGATCACCCTTGGATACACAGTGAATTTGAGGCTAGCATGGGATGCATAAGATGCTGCCTAAAATAACAGAAGCAGGGCTGGGGACATGGCTAATTTGGTGGAGAGCTTACTTAGTCTTCAGGAAGCCCTGGGTTCCCCTAGCACCATATGAACTGGGAATAAGGGTGCATATCAACAGGCCAAGCACTCTAGAAGCAGAGGCCTGGAGACCAAAAGTTCAAGGACAGCTTCAACTACATGCTGACTTTGAGGCCAACTTGGACTATATGAGGCCCTGTCTTCAAATTAATTAACTCATTGATTTAAATAAATAATAAGAAAAAAAAAGACAGACCTAGAACTCCAGGGAAAGGTTCATTGAACAGATTGATGAATCTGATGACTTCCAACAGTGACAAGTGATTCGAAGCAATGAAGCAGAGGGCCTATCCAGTGGTGACCAGTGGGATGGGCCATTTTGGACATCATGATGGTATAGGTTTATCCTACAAATGACTGCAAATCAGAGAACTAGTCAGCATATGAGACTGGAGATGGAGTTTCTAAGGCAATGAAAAGGACCCTGCACAGAGACTTAGGGCAGAATGAGGAGGAATCTGATGAGAAAGTACGTACACATGGCTAGAACTGAAGAAAGATGGGTATTGGTGGATGAGGACAGAGAAGTCAGCAGAAACCTGGTGAGGTAAGATGCTGACTGCAGCAGTGTCTGGGTATCATTCTAGATGCAAAGGAAAGCAACATTTTTCAGCAACATACCACAGCCTTGGTCCAAGTCAGGAGGTTGCACTGAATTCAGCCTCTAATTAGATGAAAAGATAATGCTTATCTCTATTGCAGAAGGGCAGAGGTCTAAGCAGAGAATTGGAGTCCCTCAAGACACTGAGTGAAGAGGATGAAAGGAAGGAAGCAGCCTCCACTCCCATACTGTCTGTTTGGTACTGTCTCCATGCAGGCCCTGTGGAGCCTGGCTCATCTCCATAAGGGACACGTGGAATCTGACATATTAAATAGTGCGGAAAAAAAAAAAAACCCACATATACAAAAATCCCACTTCTTTGAGTTCATTGCCTTGTTCAAGGCCCCACAGCACGCAGCAAAACTTTCTTTTCAAAAAGAAAGAAAGAAAGTAGGTCAGGGCTCTTCTGTCTGGTAGCTGGGGGCGCACTGGGCAGCCTCCAAAAGCAACTGCCCCACTTGGAGGTCTCTATTGAGCAATTCGAGTGATGTCAGCACTGAGGGCCCCAGGAGCAGCAAAATTTCTGAACCTGCCCTCACCCGTGGTTTTCCTGGTAACTTTTTCAAACCATTCCTTCCTGTCCTTTGCTTTATTTATTTATCGAATGTGTTTACTTTGTATACAGTCTCTTCCCAAACAGAGCTCCGAGTTTCCAGGTCACTGTGTCCCATCAGGACATACTCCACAGATATGCACTGCACTAGAAGATAAAACAGGCCATCGATGCTATGGCTGAACACAGGCTGCCACCTAAGACAGGGTTTCTCATTCAGCTTCCAGCCCGGAAAGTCCCCAGTCTGCAGGATCCAATCTTTCTTCTGTGAAGGTCATGCCACAGGCAGGGCAGTTCCTGCCAACCGATGTCCCTTGCCAACGCCAACATGTACAACCTAATAGTGGGGTCAAAACAATGTCCACAGACCCCACAGAGACGTGCTTCAGTTTCTTGTTTTTCTTCTGAGGACCCCAGCAATTTCCTTCCATTCAGTTCAGTCTCAGGGTCTCTCAGAACAGTCCGCTGCTGCCATGGTAACGGGGATCGGCAGTGCCACTCTCTGAGGTTACTGCTCGCTATGGCCCACTGCCCACAGGGTTCTGGGCCCCAGCCCCAGTAGCTCTGCCTGATCTGGGCCAGCAGCCTGGACACAACCAAAAACACAAGAGCTGACTGAAGTTTCAGACAAGATTGATGTCCCTCATTCCTCTACCAGATCCCAACAAATTAGAAAAGCAAAAAGGCTCCCTAGAAAACCAAACCACAAACCTTTGAACTCGGCTTTGCTAAAACTAAAATTGATCTTTTATGCTTCTGAAACCACAAGCAAGAAACTCAGTCTCAGCTTTGGTCTGATTTCTGTAGCCTCTTCCACAGGGGAGCTTATTCTTTAGTGTCATGTTGGGGCACCCTGGTACTACAAGGGTGGCATCCACAGGGTTGGCTGCAGTGCTGATGCTGAGAACAGTTAGTAAAATGCCAGGGCACAGGCACGGTCAAGGGAAAGCCTTTTCTCTGTGTGCTCTTTCTCTCTCTCTCTCATTCATTTTTTAGTATGGATTATTTATTATACTGCATCCCCTGCACTTAGACCAAGCACCCGACACACAGTAGGCCCTCCACACTGGTTTGCTAAGTTGACCTTCAAGTAAATTTCCTGAGCTCTTGCTGTGTGTGCATCAGACACCATTCTATTTATACACTTCTATCTCCAATTTTATAATAGGGTTTCTGCAATGTACAGGAAAACACTCAGTTCCCTCTTACTGTTATCGCAAACATTTGACTCAAGTAATTCTCACGATTGACAGTCCTACAGCAGGACCTAAGAAGATATGGGTGCAGCTTAACTCCCAGAACCTATTTAGAAAAGAGGTCTTTGCAGATATAATTAGGTTAAGGGTCTTGAACTGACATTATCTTAATGAATCATGTCTTAAATCCAGTGACACATGTTTTATAGGCTAGAAGAGGGGCTGTGTAAAGATCAAGACAGAGAACAAAAGGAAGCTTCCACAGGCTGATGGCCGCCTGGAGCCGCCACCCTATAGAGATGAGGAGACTTCTCCCTAGAGCCTCCAGTGTGGCTATGACTCTCAGCACCCTGACTTTAAAGAATCAGTCTACTGTGATGACAGCAACCATGCCAGCCTAGGAAACTGATGCAAATCTTACCTGCTTTCTCCCAAGAAACTGGCCACTAAAAGAGAAGTGACTGGCCTGGGCACACATAGGCAGATGGGGGTTTGAACCCAGTACAAAGTCCTTGCTCTTGGCTACGGCATTCATTCCTGGGATGTGTTTACTGAACACCTCAGATGCTGGGATATGGCTATGAACAAGAGCTGAAGCGTCATATGAAGCTTGCAAGGGAGCTGGTGTTCCAAAGGGGTGAAGAATTTGTCTAAGGTTTGACGGAGCTAGGATCTGAACTCAGATACCTGCTTTCAGAGACTGCCTGAACTCACTCAAGCCAAGTGGAATCTGTGGCCCTTGTAAATCCTAAAACTAGAAAAACAAACGCAAAAAAACAAAAAACAAAAAACAAAACAAAACAAAACAAAAAAAAAACAAGAAATAAGAAAGAGTAGTGGACACCAGCTATGGCCTCCTGTCCGGTACCTGTTAGGGGGCCCCACCTTGTGATGGTATAAGGAACAGTAAGTACGTGAGGGAGGTCACCAGTTGACCTACCAAGAGGCAGAGGCAGAGCCCCTCCTCTACCCACGCTGTCAGGATGGCCCAACATCTGGAAACGGCACCAAAGAATGGGTGGACACTGATACCACCCTTCTAGATGGACTGCAGGCTCAGACGTTTGACCTAACCGTGCCAGCAGCAGACGCAGGCCTGCTCCTAAGTTTGTCCAAGAATAATCTGTATTCCACCTGGAAAACAAAATGACTTATTAAGTGAAAACAGACGTCACTTTTCAGCTCCAAGGGCTGAGTTTTTGAGTGGTGTATCTGTATTTTCAATGAAGCAGAGATGTTGGGTCCTGGGACTTCCGACACCTAAAGACAAACACATTTGAGAGGAGGAAGGTGCCAGAATGAACCAGAAATGTGTGGTTTTAATTTATTTAGCTTCCTAGGAGAGAAAAAAAAATAGTTACATGAAAAAAAGGGGGAAAAAGAGAGAGAGAGAAAAGGGTAGCTTAACCTGAACAAATGTATAATTTCCTTTTTCGAACTGACTCTTAACTAGGTCAGTTGCAAAAGCATAGGGGACAGAATGGGAACGGGTAAAAAAAAAAGGGGGAGGTGAAAAAACAGAGAAAAAGCTGAAAGAAAAATAAGTAGTGACTTTGAGGGACTATGACTCGAGACAGGGAAATGTCAGTGAGAAGCTAAAAGCCTCCACAAGCCAGTAGAGGAATCACCAAACGGCGGAGAGTGTTTTTCTGTGTGCATTTTCCAAATGACCCTTCACCTGGGTTCTGGCACCCCGCCCTGTGGCCTCTGCTCAGGGGACCGGCAATGTCAGTCTACTGAAGGGGCAGGAGGCTATCAGTTTACAAGAGAGGAAGCAGAGGAAGGGGAAAGAAAGCAGACAAATTACTAAATGAGGAAGCCAATTACCCGGGGCACTATACTTCAAGCTGTCAGCAGGCCACCTTCGGACAGAGCGGATCAGAGACTTGGAGACTCTGTTGCCATCTGGACTGCCCAACGAGACAAGCTAGCAGATATCCGCTGGTACGTTCACATCAGCTTGTTTCCACATCTCTCCACACAGGAGGCCAGCGTCGCTGCACCGCCAGGTTCCAGCAGCACAGGAGCCCTCCAAAAAACGACTGCCCAGGAGCCACTTGGACTTCCAACTTGAACAGCTACGGGCCGATCTGGAGCCATCCCTGACTCCTCTAACAGCACAACATGTCAAAGGCCAAGAACAACAGATGTCTGGGCCAGTCCCAGGCTGAGCAGGGTACAGGCTCTATAAAGGGTTTTTTTCAGACTGTCGTGGACTAGTACACGGAAGAACTCACACAGAATCTTTTATTTTATATGTCACATTTCATTTTTACTTTATCTTTAATAATGTAATTACTTAATTACATCTATACATAGATACCATAGGAAGTCAGAGGAGGACACTGGATCCCCTGGAACTGGAGTTACAGGTAGTTCTGAGACATCATGTAGGTACTGACTAAACCTGGGTCTAAAAAAAAAAAAGAGAGAGAACAGAGTCTTCTGCAAGAGCAGTAAGTGTCCTAACCACTGAGCCACCTCCCCAGCTGAAGTATTTTGTATCTTATAAACAGAGAGTTCTTTGCTTCCAGTAAGACTGACAGTCAACCGGGCTCGGTCACCCACGCCTGGGAGGCTGAGGCAGACAGATCTCTGTGAGTTTGAGGCCAGCCTCGTCTACAAAGCAAGTCCAGGACAGCCAGGGCTACACAGAGGCCTGTCTTTAAAAAGAAAGACTCTGACAATCACTGTCACCTAATCTAGCCACACTGTACAACAGCAGCTTGGCATGGCAGGAAGGGATGAGGGAAGCCAAGGGCAGACAGGAGGAAGGTCAGGCAAAGATTCCTGCTAGGCAATGGCAGGCCCCACTTTGACAGAAGCATCAATTAGAGCAAAGAGTCAGGAAGAAGGCACCAGACAGTGATAATCTTGAATAAGCAGCCAAACCAGCGGCAGCAAAAGAGACCCCAAGACAAGACGTTGTACACTTAGGACATACTGTGTTTCCCTGTCCTCTGGGAGAAGTCACTCACCGTCACTTGGCAAGGACCTTGAGAAAAGAAAACTCATATTTGCAGGGACAATATTGCCCATGGATAAAAGATGGAGGCAGTAAATGGGTACCACAAGCCCCCCTGAGGATGGGAAGGGTCTGTCCCCGTTGCTCCTAGCTAGCATTCTGCCCCGTTCTAAAACTGACCCTCCGGCTGCGTTAGAAGGCTTATATAGAAATAAGCATCCCCTCCTGGCTATGCAGAGTAACTGCTGAGACAGGCAGCAACTAACCTCACTTCTCAAGGTGACACCTGGACCATCTGCATCAGTCACCGGCAGGAGGGCAGTGTGCTGAAGGTGTCAACTGCCCAACAGAGGTCCTTCAGGAGTGGGTCTTAGCAATCAACTTTCGAGAAGCAGTTTTTTGTTTGCTTGTTTGCTTGCTTTCTTGTTGTTGTTGTTGTTGTTGTCGGGGTTTTTGTTTTTGAGACACAGGGTTTCTCTGTGTAACCTTCGCTGTCCTGGGTTTGCTTTGTAGACTAGGCTAGCCTCAAACCCACAGAGATCCGGCTGCTTCTGCCCCCGAGTGCTGGGATTGAAGGTGTGGACCACCACACCCAGCTTCTAAAAGCAGTTTTGGTGGGGCCTCTCACACCCTACAAAGTTTGGGAACAACTCTCTTCCATCATGTGTGTTCTACAGAAGCTTCCCTCTTTGCCTTCCCAGCTCCATCTGCCATGACCTTCGGCGGTGGCACTGTGTTCGGCAGCAAAGGTGCAGCTCGCACTGTACCTTCATTTCGGGATGTTTTGTTTCTTTGAAGTGGACTCTTGGGTTCTCACTGTGATGCCAGACTGGCCTGGCCTGCCTCCTCCTCCCAAGTAGCTGGGACTAGAGGCATGCACCACGGTGCCTCACTTCTTTAAAGAGAATTCTTTACTTCATGCTCCTAGAAGAAGTTCACAGTTCTCCAGAGGCAGAGGCAGGCACTCTGTTACAAAGAAACCCTGTCTCAAAAAAAAAAAAAAAAAAAAAAAAAAGTTCACACTTGATAAAGTATAGAAAAGTGGCTTGGTGGGTTAGAATCCTTGCTGAAGGAGGACCTGAGTTCAAAACCCTAGCATTTATGTAATAAGTTCAGTATGGTCATACACATGCTAACTCAGCATTATGAGGTTGAGGGTAGCAGGGACAAGGTCAGAGAAGCTTGTGGCTGCCAGTCTAGCTCTGAGTTCAGTGAGAAACAGGAGGAATAAAGCAGAAAGTGATCAATCGGGACATCTGACACCCTCTGGCCTCTTCACACTCGTGTACACTCACCCACAACAACGTGCATATGTGCTACAAACACATACACACAGACACAGATACTGCGCACGTACACACAGGGCTCACACATGAGATTAGAGAAGTGGCTTAGTCTAATAAAACGTTTCCCGTGAAAAGCCTAAGAACCTGAGATCAGATCCGCAGTACCTTCGCCTGGACAAGCACTCCTGGGACTTCCTGTGGTGAAATACAGATCGACCATCACAAGCAAGACTCAGTCTCTCTCCTAGGCCATCTGGGGAAGGAACTGTGTGAGCATGACACACTTATTACATTCACCCATAATTCTTTGCTTCGTATCTTACCCTTACTGAGTGTGGTGGTCTGAATGGGAATGGCTCCATAAGCTCATAGAGTTGAATGCCTGGACCCTAGTTGGTGGAGCTTGCGGAACAATTAGGAGAGATGTCAGTGGGGTAGCTTTGAGGTTGCAGAAGCCTACACCATTCTCTCTTTCTCTCTCTCTCACCCTATTGCAGATTAAATCCGAGCTCTCAGGTATTGTGTTGGCACCATGTCTGCCTGCTTGATGCTTGCTCCCACCGTGACGGTCCCAGACTCCAACCCCCTGCAACTGTAAGCAAGCCCCCAGTAGGCTCGTTCTATTTGGTCATGGAGTCCCTGCACAGCCACAGAAAAGGAACTGGGGCGCCGAGTTACGAGATTGAGGACCACCTTCACTCAGTGTGAGTAACTAGTCTGTTTGAATCTGTGCCAAGGGTGTGAGCATCTGATTGTTGACAGTTCACTGCTGGCAAGACAGACCCTCCATGCGGGCTAGTGGCTTCTCATACCTGAGCAGTGGTTCCCCCGAGCCTGCCATGATTCACTCAGAAAGAACAGGATGACTGGGGCATGGGTGTGAGACAGTTTTGTTCATTGTCTTTTTACATTATACCAACACGGCCCATCAGGAGAACATACAGTAGTTCTGGACTTACCAACCCTAATACCTCACACTTCAGGCAACACAGACTCAAAGAGCTATCGTGTTGTGCATAGAACTCACGGGCTGAGAGGCAATTTCCCTCTCTCACTGCAAATGTGTCCTAGTTGATCCCCACTTTCCCGTGGCACCCCAGGAAGCCTCTAGCCATCTTCCACCTGCTCTCCTTCAGCTCTTCGTGACTTCTAGACCCCCTCACTGTTTCCTCCCATACCCTGTGTTCTGTCACACAGCAGTGCCCTGGACCTCCTTCACCCTCCTCCCCACAGCTTGTCAATGATCCAACGCTTCTCAAAAGAGGATGACACAAACCCCCTGTTCAGGCTTTGCACGTAGTTCAGCTCTGGAGCTAAATGTGGGGAATAACTGGCATCAAACCACCGTGATCCTAGAACACTCTCCTGAGGAACTCCAGTTTCTCCCCAGACAACAACAAGTCGAACACAATGGCGCAAGTACAATGCAGTTCCTGCTCTGTGGACCCAACTTTACTAAGAATGGAATGACCCGAGGAAATCCTGTCTGGCAGCTACTCACAAACTCAGCTGTGTGTTAGGGAACAACTGACTTTCTAGAAGGCAGAAGGCTGTGTGCAGCAAAGGCCGTGCTGGATGGCAGGCCAGCAGTGGAAAGGACACACTGGGCCTACAGAGAGATGCTGTCACATGGTTCATCATTTGAACAAGCTGTCTGTCGTACTGGCTTCCCTCCCGCCGTGCTGCTTTTCAACTGTGCTCCACGGTCATCCTCAACATGTGTCTGTCCTAATAATTCCTCCAGACCCTTCCTGTATAGATTGGGGTTTCAGATCATGAAAAATAACTATCATTCTGTGTGGTTCGTGGCGCACATCTATCCAGCACTTGGGAGGCTGGGGCATTAGGAATTGACATGAGCTTGAAGACAGCCTTGACTATAGAATGAGACTGTGCCTCAGAAAAAGAGAACTTTCCTCTCTGGCTGGGGAAATGGTTCAGTTAGCAAAATCCTTGCCGTGAAAGCCTAAGGAGCTGAGTTTGGATTCCAGACACCCACAAATCTGAACAAGGTGGCACATGCCTGTAATCCCAGGACTCTGAAGGCTGAGACAGGATGATGCAGACATCAAGATCAGCCTGGACTCACATACAGGCTCTTTTTATGTTTTCTTTATAGATAAAAACCTCGCTAAACTGCTCAGGCTAGCCTTGAACTCACAATCCTCCTACTTCAGTCTCACAAAATACCTGGAATAAACAGGCCTGAGCCACACAGCCTTCTTTCGCCCCTACTTTGACCCTTTCTTTTAAGTAAAGGGAAAAGAGAGCCAATGAGATAAGACGGTTCAGTAAGTGAAGTTTTGACATGCTGGGAGAGGACCAACACCTCAGAGCTGTTCTCTGACCTCCACACGTGAGCTGTGCTCTGTGTGCCTGCTACACACACACAACACATAAATATGAACGTATAAATAAATGAGTTTTATAAGGAAAGGAAACAGAAATAAAAGGAGGGAAAAAAAAAGGAGAGAAGGAACAAACAACAGAAGCTATCGAAACTTTCAAAATCACTATGCTAGCCATCATAGTTTTCCGGGTTTTCAAATACTTAGACCACAGCAGAAGCTGGAAAAGGAAAGAGAGAGAGGAAATCACTCAGCCAGGCTGAGGCTCACTGTGGACCACAGCAAGCTGGCTTGCAAACCTCCTGACAGCTAATGTGGGCTCTGGGAGTCACCAGTCCTGGGGCCCGGGTAGGGTGGGCTGGAGAAATGCCTTTTCGGGGAAACATTCTCAATCCCTCTCTGTTCTCTTGATTTACAGAATGTAATTTCTTAGAATAGCTAGCTGATACCAGCAGGAAGAAAACCCTTCCAAAGCCCGAGACCGTTGTCAACCACTCAGGCTAAACCAGAGACTTCGAAGGTCTTAAGCCCTGTGGCTATTTTTAACCACCTTAGCTGGTTATCTCTGTCACTTGTCACGACCAGCAGGCTCTCTCACTTCAGCGAGAGACTAAGGAATAGGTGGACTCTCTAGTCTCTTCCATTGAAACAGAAGACCCCGGGAGCTCCCCCACGAATACAACATGCAGCTTCTCAGCATAAACAAGGGGTGAAGCAGGGGTTCTGCTTAGAAGAGATGGAGCCAGGTTAATTCTGGAGCCTAAACACAGAGCCTGAACACTGAATCAGCCTCAGCCCTATTGACCAATGGTGGCTTGAAGGAAGAAACACGCAGGAAGATGTGAAGATCGGACCTCCGCAGAAAACTGAGGCAAGCCAAACCTAATGGTATGGAGGTGTCCAAAAAGGCCAAATAAAAAACGGAGCAGGTGCTACGGTGTGGATATGGTCTAAGTGTGTCTTGTGGGTGCACATGCTCTGAAAGCTTGGTCTCCACCACAGAACCCTCGGTGCCAGAACCTTGATGGGGAGCCTTGTGGTGGGGCTGTAGAACGCTTGCCTATCGTGAGCACAGCCCTGAGCTCCATTCCCAGCACTGTGTACACCAGGCAAGGTGACAAATACCTGTAATCTCAGCGTTGGGGAAGTCGTGCTGAGCAAAAGGACCAGGAGTTCAAAGTCATCCTTGGCTATATCGTAAAGTTGAAACCAGACCGGGCCATATAAAACCATGTTTCAGAGAACTATAACAAATAGATAGACAGATGATAATTAATTAATTAAAAGAGGTGAGGGCTACTGGAGTGAGAGCGGATCAGGAGGGTGCCACCTTCATTCAGAAGGGATAGATAGGTATTTCTCCTTGCCTTGTCACAGTAAGCTACCTTAGAGGAGAAGACTGTTAGAAAGAGAGGCAACTTCACATGGCCTTTTCTACACAGAGCCGTTTTCTGAAATTGATTTCAATAATGTATTGATACAACCAGGAGAGCCTCACCAGAATGCCAGCTCTATGTTCTTGAACCATTACAACAATAAGCTAAATAAGTCCCTTAAAAAAAAAAAAAATCAGCTAGCCAACCACAGGTGTTTTGACAGCAACAGCAGCAAAGGTACTGACAGGCTCCTCAGAAACTTAAGGTTTGTTACTGTAAACTTAGCTGTCTAAGAGAGGTCTACCAAAGACTGCTGAAGATGGGGAAAGTATTAACAGCACGTCCTCTGAGGCCATGCTTGAGACTGTGTAAACAAAGGCGCGGCGGTGGTGGCACATCCCTTTAACCCCAGCGCATGGGAGGCAGAAGCAGGAGGATCTCTGTGAGTTTGAGGCCAGCCCGGTAGACGAAGTGAGTTCCAGGACTACAGAAAGACCCTGTGAAGGGAAGAGAGAGAGAGACTGACTGTCTCACTATACGGGACTATACAGGAAACAGCATGTTTTTGGTTGACCAGATATCAACAAACAGACTTTCTAGGTCTAAAAGCAGAACCACAGTCTTCATTCAGTGGAGTGAGAGTGAGCTGGATCTCACTGACAACAGCTCCTGCTGGGATGGCAAACCAAATCCACACCATGCAAGGAGTAGAATGCTTCCAAAGGCATTTCCCGGAACACACAGAGCGACCACAGACAAGCAGATTCAGGTTTTCAGGGTAAGATACTATCTTACTCTGTGTGGCTGCGACAAAATACCACAGGTGGGTTCATTACAAACAACAGAAATTTGCTTCTCATATTTCTGGGGGCAGGAAGTCCACAATAAAGGTGCCGGCAGGTTTGGTGCCTGGCAAGAGCTGCTCTGTTTCCAAGGTGATGTCCTGTTGCTAAAAGGAAGGGCAGGCTACATCCTCATTGGGGAGAGGAATGAAGTGGGTGAAGACATTAATTTAAGCCCTCTCAGCTCCCAAAGGCCCTCAAACACTGCTCTACTGAGGAGTCAATTTCAACATCTGAATTCAAGGGAACATGTTCAGGCCACAGACCAGAAACACACACACACACACACACACACACACACACACACACACACACACACTAACTGTCCCCTGCCATACACAGACACAAATAAGCACACACCAGGCCTAGCTATGTCACATATGTCTGTCAGAGACCAGCTTCAAGGCAGCATGGGGCTAGAAGGAAGCCAACCGGAATGGAAACAGGGATGAGAATACGGCCTGCTAATGCAGACAGCCTTCTGTGGCCTGCTCACAGCAAACAGTTCTTCCAACCCCTCCAATGTGTAAGAGATGCATGCTGTCCAAGCTCTATGCCATCAGTGGACACCACCAGGGCTAAGTCATCTTCCTCCAAAGACCTGAGCCTTGAAGTAGCGACTCTTTTTATTATAAATTGTCTATTTTGCGCCTTCCTTGTACTATTGCCAAAGTATAAAAGTATTGTACTAGGGAGGACCAAGCATCTCAGGATGCCAGCCTGGCTCCAGATGGGCAATGAATGAAATGAAATTCACATGCTTCCCAAGGAGGCGCACAGAGGGGTACTCTTTACTACACTGGGAACAGCCTAACTGGCCATCCTACAGAAGCGGTTCAGCACACGGTGGACCAGTAAACCCGAACAGTACTGTGCAGCGGTTAGAGAGAATAAGGTACATTTGGACAGAATAACATAGCGAGGTCCCCAGGTTACTTTGCTGAGTGACAAAAACAAGTGGCAGAATAAAGCCATGCCATTTACATATCATCATTCCTCTTTTTATGTGTCTAAATGTTCTTGCACATCAAATCTTGACAGGTGACACATCAGACAGAAAACAAAACAAAACAAAAAACAACTAAGATCTGAGTTTGAAAAAAGGGTCCTGGGATTCAGGCTAGTCATAAAATAGTTCAGCCTTACTTGAATTTTTCCGGTAGTGATGATAAGAAAAAAACGTGTGGGTATGGGGAGAGTGTTCAGTGGGTAATGTGTTTGTATGAGCCTAAGGACAGAAGTTCTAATCCCCAATACCTATGCTTAAAAAAATTTTTTTTTAAAGGCTGGGTATGGCTGCATGTGCCTGTAAACCTAGCATTTGGGGACAGAAACAGGCAAATCCAAGGATCTCCCTGTCCCCCAGCCTCGCTGAATCAGCAGGCTTCTCGATCCCTGGGAGCTCCTGTCTTAAGGCAATAGAGCAGCAATAGAGAAAGAAACCTATCTCTGCTATCTTCCTCTGGCCTCTATGAGCACATATAGGGGCATGTGTACCCACACACTCACATGCATGCAAAACACACACACACACACACACACACACGTATGCAAAGGTAGCTTATAAAATCAGAATAATGTTACGGTGTTAAGACATTTAAAGAAATAGGGCTGGCGGGTTGTCCTGGCAATGGCAATGGCTTGCTCTTCCCCAGCATACACGAAAGGCACAACAGCGACAAAATGCCATTAGCCTCAGATGGTTTCAACTTCTCTACTAACAAAAGTTCTCTGTCCATCACATTCATTCATTCAATAAATATCTCCCTGGGGCCCGCCATGTTCCAGGCCTGTTCTACAAACTCTGCACTGAACTACCCGGTAGTATCTTTGTTCTCTGAGCCTCCTCACAGCCCATCTCTTAACCCCAGGTTCTCTTTTACCAGAGTCCTTAAAAATCACAGACCCCACACTTGGGGAGCCCCAGCCCTCTCAGGGTGTCATCCTTCCAGACACGGCTCCTCTTTAAGTACCATAGCATGGAGCCTCTCAACCACTTCCCAATGGTTCCCTTGTGTCACCCCTGGTCTGATGGGAGCACCTCAAGGCCACAAGACCTAGAAAAGGGGAGGAGCATTCCCCACAACCATCATCGGGGTCCCACCGTAGGAAAATACACAGTAAAATGGAAAATTGTGGTGTGAAAAATGGCCCCATGCCTCTCGGGCACAGAAATGGGATTAATGCTGAGATCAGAGCTGCCAACTGCCCCACACAACCCCTACGCAACTCCCACCCTTGAATTCTGCTCTGGCTACAGGTGGGGAGGTTGCAAGAGCTGGATCTTGTCTCTGCTTTACATTACTCTCCTGGTCCAGGCTCAGATTTACACTGAGTTTTCAAAAAGGTTTATGAGTCTTGTACTAAATGCTCAGTTTCTTTCTTTCTTTCTCTTCCTTCCTTTCTTCCTTTCTTTCTCTTTCTTCTTTCTTTTCTTTCCTCCCTCCCCCCCCTTAAAAAAGGGCCTCATACAGCCTAAGCTGGCCTTGAAATCACTATGTAACTAAGGATGATCTTGAACTTTTTTTTTTCCTCCCAAGTGCTAAGATGACAGGCTTGAGCCCCTGGGATTACTTTATGCTTACGTGGTACTGCGGATTGAAGCCAGGGCCTCAGAAATGCTAGATAAGCATTATACCAACTAGCCTGCACCCCCAGTTTCTGAAAGCTCAGTTTCTATAAACTTCTTTCTCCAGTTTGTTTCCCAAACTAAAAAAATATTGAAAAGCAAAAGCAAAGCCCCAAACTGCCGGGGGAGGGAGGGGGCTCAAGCTGCTACTTCCTCCTAGGAAAAGGGAGATTAGCAGGACAAAGGGTTAAATATTAACACACTTCCCTGGAAGGTCTTTCCTAGCTTGTTAATGGAGACCAAGCCAAACCTTGGCAGGGATCAAACATTAGCTCATGACAGGTGTAGGCTTCACGCTGGCTGCCGCTGCATTTCCAGAAAAAAAGAAAAAAAAAAAAAAGTCAGGGACACGGGGACCACTCCATGACACAGCAGGCTGGAATGGATTGCTTTGCAGAGAGCTCTTCCGGCTGAAATAATTCTCTGTAACAACTTCCTTGACGTGCTGTCAGATGGCCTGTTTCCAAGGTGACGGCCGATGCCTGGAGACATAATAGACATCATCTGTGGTCTTCTGGAGATGCGGCCCCCAGATCGACCCTGCTGGATTCTTCTTGCACTCATCAAGTTGGCAACCTCTATGAAACTGGGGCCCTGTGACGGGCTCCCAGCAGGCTCTACTCGTATTCTCACCAGAATACTGTTCACTTTGCCTGCCTGCAGTATTGGATTGCAAACTCAAACGTCTTTGGGGGCCAGCCAGACGAAGTACATGACTGAAGTACTCAAGTGACAACTGCAGCACACCTGCCTGTCCAGGGAGAGGCCGTTCGTGCCTGTGATTCACCGTTTCAATCTCAGGATGTTCTAGAACACAGCTGCTTTGCAGATCTCTCCTGGTTGAAATGATTCCATAAACAGTGCCCTGAGGAGCTGTCAGGATGGTGTATGTGCTGGGTTCAGTTCTATCCCTCAGGAACCTTACTGGGGGCAAAGAGTCATTACAGATGTAATGAGTTAAATCAAGATGAGGTCATCCTGGTCTGGGGACAGGCCCTAACCCAGTGACTAGGAGACAAGCAGGAACTCACAGAGAGGAAGCAGCCCCGTGAAGACGGAGGCGGCAACTGG